TGCAGCCCCACATGGGGCTGGGTTTGCTATGAGGTCCCTGTAACTTCCATCCTGGGTTGCGGCTGCTCCCCCAAAAGGCACTTTTATGGCCGGGATCACGGGGTTGGGACAGGGTCCCCAAGTGATTCAGGATCATGGCAATGCCTCGAGACACAAAAGAGCTCTGTGAACGGGGATAAGAGCTGGGAGAGCACAGGGATGGACCCTCTCTGAAGGCAAGGTGGTCCACACAAGGGACCTGCTCCATGGTTTGGTCCTTCAGAGAGAAGGAATTAGTGGACAGGCAAGATGAGACAGTTCTCAACAGTCTCAGTGCCTGAGCCTTCAACTTCACATGCAGCAGGGGGAAAAAAATGGTTTGGGTGAGATGTTTGCTATAGCTGTTCAGGTGCCCCTGGGGAACCAACACAAAACGGCAAAACTTCTGTCCTGCTCTTTGTGGAGGGATGTGCTGACATCTGGGGGACTCTGCTGCCCTCCTCTGAGAGCAGCTCAGCTGGCAGCTCGCGTGGTTCGGAGCTGCTGTTAGGAGAGCGTGAAATATTTGGGGAATTTGACATGAAAGTAAATAACCGAGGGGCTGCCAGCGTGGCAGTGCTGCTTGGATCTCTTTTCCTATCCCCTGTGGCCTCATTCCTTGCAGGCCTTGAGGAAGATGCCGGTCTGAAAGCCTGCCTTGTGCACAAGCAGAGGAGCAAGCAAGGAGGTGCTGATGTCCACCCTTAAGTCTCACAGCCCTGGACTCATTCTCATTTTCTTCATTTTACACACGCAGAGACTGAGCTACTGTGACGGGAACCCAAAAGGGCCACCCTGTGTGCCGAGCTGGCTGCAGGATGCCTGGGGATCCTGGACAAATACCTCAGTACATGGACAGGCTGTACCTTGTAGCCTCTTTTTTTTGCCATCACATCCAGATGTGTCTTTGCCCAGGAGAGATCAGCAATATATGAGTGCATCTATTGCTCTGAGGTTTCAGCCCTGTATCTCCCTGCAAACCCGAGTGCCAATCTCTATCTGACCCACTGCATTTT